CATGCAAGCAAAAATACAGTTTTTTAATGTGATTGGTTATTCTTTGCAGTGTGAGCTTTACCTCATTTACTAAACTCTGGAGCAAGTGCACTTGCATTGCAGTGCACAGTATATTTGCTTTTAGTAAATCAACCCCATTTATATTCTGATAGCAGGGACTCTCAGAATACACTGATCAAGAAAAAACATTTCCACTAAGCCCGTTTGACAGAAGTCGATCATTAGATCTCATTCTGTTGAGTGCCAGCAGCCACCCCTGCTGAACTGGCCAAATTTTGATCCATTTATGGCCAGCTTAAAGTGGTTCTAAAGGCTGAAGGTTGTTTTACCTTCATGCATTCTGTGCCCGATCTCTGATCCAGCAGCTCTCCTGGGTCTTTCCCTTATTGGCTCAGACACAGCAGCAGGAGTCGTTGGCTCCGGCTGCTGTCAACCACAGCCAGTGAGCAGGTAGCAGGGGGCAGGGCTGAACGTGTTCTGTGTGTTTTAATAGAGTAGCTTGCTCTGGAGGAAGGAGCGGGGAGCGCCGGCGGGGGACCTGAGAAGAGGAGGTTCAGGGCTGCTCTGTGCAAAACCATTGCACAACACAGGTAAGTGAACTTTTAGCATTGCTGGTTGTGCTATGTAGGCAAGACTACCAATGAGGTGTTTGCTTTCTCTTCACCTGCTCCACAATCTTTCACCCCGCTACCCTAACTCTGATACTAAGCTGCTATTCTTCTCTTTAGCTAAACCAATCATCATTATGCTGGTGACACTCATCAGAAACTATATTTCAGGCATTTTTTATTTTCGGTTCCAGTATGTGGTCCATTGTTTCCAGAGTGGTCCAGAGTTTTTCCATCTAAATTAATTGCAGAACTTTGTTCTCATTACAGGGGCCTCTAAAATATTTCCTTCCTTGCTCAGACTCCCTGTGGTCTAACCATTAGAACCATTTTCATGTTAATAGTGGCCGCACCATCTCAGGTCTCTTCCAGCAGAAAATTAATCATCAGCGGAGGTTCATGTGTATCTCAGTGTCAATGATGTAGGGTTTTGCAGCTAATAGTGAGATTATCATTATTAACTTTATATAAAGAGTTTGTACAAGATGCAGGTGCTCCAGATATCCAACTTCTCTCTCAATAGAAAGTTTGCTAACATATAATTGAAGTTCTGGGTGTAGTGTATCTAATACATTTAGCCCACCTTTGGCTGGAAAAAAACCCCTGAATACTGAGGATTGGCAAAACAGCGAGTTTACGCTTAACAAGAGTGTCTGTGTAAACCAGGACATGTGCAGCCATATCATTACTGAGTGTGTGCAGAGTTTCTTTTTTTAAAGCAGATTTTGCATAAGCAGTTGACATGTCAAAATTTGAGGCTCCCGTAGACAAAATGTTGGTGAATGTAAAATTAGTATTTTCTGAAAAATCACTCTGCTCTTCCATAATGGGTATGGGTTTGTGAAAGTGATTTTTTTCTGGCTTTATAATATATGGAAAGGTCTTTTCCCTTCCCTGGAGTTTGCACAGTTGAAGGTGATTGGTTGTATGGGGGCGATATACTGTAACTGTGTTACTTGTTCCTCAGGTGTTAACACACACATGCTGAAACCTAGAACAAACAAAGGAAAACAGGATCATATACAAGGTGTGACAGTTTAATTCCTGGAATGGGACGGTATTAACCCTATAAAATACCTCTGCACTCTTCAAAAGATTGGATGAAATTTGAAGAAGACATTATTTCTGATCTTCTGTCAATATTTGAGGCATCATCTTTCTCACAAATCTTTCTCATTCCCAAATCCTCTGTTCGTATCTTCCGCACTGTTTCCCTGTTCATTCTCGATTCCTCTGCAATCATTCGCACACTCAGTCTTTGATCTGAGCGTACAAGGGTTTGCACTCTGTCCACATTTCCATCCATCTATTGCATTTTGTCTGCCCACTTCCTGCATCATCATGGACATCTTCCCGTCCCTCATTAAACCACCTATGCCATTCAAAGACATTTGATTTCTTCATGGAATATTCGCCATAAGCTTTTTGTAACAGAACTAAAGTTTCACTCGCACTTTTGCCAATTTTTATGCAAATTTGCATACTACACCGTAAAGAATGAGTCAACTGGTAGGCGACCCAGGTGAATGCACGTTAGAAGATGCTAGAACACACTTGAGTGGGAATGGCTGTTTTACTCACCACCATAGTGTTACTGTGCAGGCATTCCAGGAATTACATTGTCACACCTCGTACACAGATATTACTTGATATATCCACTTTATAACAAAGTACTAAAAAAAGTTTCTATTTAATCAGCATTGTTATTAAGCAGTGTAGCTTCAGCAGAACGCTAATAGGTCTGGGGTCTGTGTTTTCGGTTTACAGAAAGGTGGTCAACTACCTGTAGCAGACATGCTTGTAAGGGCCTGTGTAAACTGACTTTAGGATTTTTTCAATGACATCAGTTTGATAATTATTAATTCCTTGACCGATGCATCTGACCTGCAGTTGATCTCTTTCTGACCTGCATTTCACCTGCTTCATTTCAGATTTGCATTCCCATAGATTTTCCATAGCCCTCTGACACAGGTCCTTAACCCCTTCACGCCGGATCGTCCCGGCCTGAAGAGGAGTTCCTGCGCCGGGAGGTGGACGGGGCGTGGCTTAGTGTCATGTGGCCGCCGTGACGTCACGGCTGGTCACATGATCAGGAAAGGTCCCGATCGAAAGAGCAGACCAGGACCTTTCCATGAGTACCTCACATGTGTGTTGGGAGCGCGCAGGGTGCACATATGTTTTTTGTTACATGAATACAAATGTGCGGCCACTCGATTTCTAGGACCAGACACCGGGAGGCCGCACATTTGCGTGCGGCCGGCGTGAAGGGGTTAAAGCTGTTCTGCAGCCCAGAAATAGATAAATGTCAGCAGCTGCAAATACTGTACTTGCTGACTTTTAATAATATTACACTTATCTGTCCTCTTCAGCCATCTTTGGGTCCAGGCGCCGCCATGTTTACTTTGGGAAGCCACCTATGACTGCTTACGGTTACACGGACAGTTTCCCACTGCACATGTGCGAGCTGTACTGCGCTTTGTGCATGGTCTAGCAGCTTTCTGCGACCTATGACAAGTCCCAGAAGGCTGTGTGAGAAGGAAGAGGGCTGAACTTCTGCTCGGATCACCTGTCAAATCTAGGTACCTGCTCCCCTTCCCAAAAAAAAAACCCAGCTGACAAAACGTAGAGGGTGGGGGGGGACACTTTTGGGTGAAGCTCCACTTTAACCTCCTCCAGAGCAAATTCACCTTTTCCTATTCCAGACACTGTTTTTGATGTTTATGGCTAAATATCAGACATTTCCATCACACTGAAGTTTTGTCACTGCTTTGTGCTAATTATTACTTCTACACCTTCCAGTTGTCAGAGAAGATCCTCAGGTTTGTAGATATTGGTATTATGTTTTTTATTTTCTTTCTTTGCAGTTATTGGTATTTTTGATTGGAATTTCTGTTGGAAATTGTTTATGAAAATCATGGCAGCATTGTCCTAGTGCCAACAAGTTCCAGAAAACGCAGTAGTAAAAATATTAATAAAAATACAGCTCATGTCATGGACATAGCACCCTCATTCCCCAATTACTGTTTTACCCCTCCTCTCTCTCCGCATTTAGGCTCCATGCACACTGGGTGTTTTGATAGCGCTGGTCACATTAGCTGTGTAAAGAGTTTTTCAGCTTTATTTAGTGCTTCTGCATTTGCGTTTAGCAGCATTTGGCCACGATTAGCAATTAACGATTAGTTTTTCCACATATCGTTTTTTGCGGTTTTGTTTTTGGTGAAAAAAAATCCAAAAACGCCGGTTTGCAGCGTTTTACTGCGTTTTTCAGCATTAGAGCGTTTTTACAGTGAAAAAACTCCTCTAGAAACCCACTAGTCCGTGGGGTTTTTTTCCAGCCAAAAAATGCTGATTACAGTTTGGTGCATGGACACATAGGATAACATGCTGGGGGGTTTTCTAGCTGTAGAAAAAAAACCCATCAAAAGCCAAAAACAGCCGCTGTAAAAACATCCAGTATGCAGGAGGACTTCTACCCATCTCTCTTCCTCCTCCGTGCTCATCTTTTCCAAAGTTCTTTTCCTGCTCCCCCTGCCCCTCCTTTCCCACCTACTTGCCTATAGCTGGATATATGGCGAGACAGGGAGTCTCATTGGCTTCTCCATGTTGCATAATTAAAAGGACTAGCGACCAAACTCTTCACAACAATGGAATGTGCAGAGTGTGTTTGTCATTGCTATGGCAACTGCTGCACAGAAACTGAAAAAATATTAGGTATTAATTTCTAGATGCTAAATAGAGGCTCCTGTCACTTTTTAAACGTAATGTTATGGAGATTTCTGGTTTAAGACAAAAGAGCCGGTGAATTGAATAAAAAAGGCATATCAATCATTATAAAATGAAATTGGAGGTAGAAATTTGTATATTTATTTGGGTTTATTCAATGTGCCAATGTAATGATACATTTCTAAAGCACAGGCACACAGTGCAACCAGAGAAGGCTTGATGGATGTGGCGACACTGCATAGGTCATATAGCCTAGATTGAGAATAGCAGGTGCAAGCATTTCAGCATTTCATCTCTTCACTTAGGTGTCCGTTTATGAACCAGTGGTAAATGATCGCTGCTCAGTTCTTCGGCAATCTCGGAGAACACACTTCTCCTGTGAATGCCTTTTATGAAGCGGTGTAGATCACTTCTCCGAACGAAGGGAGAACGATCTACAAATGCTGGAAAACTGCTGCTCTTTACTATAATCTCGCGAGATTACAGTAAAAGATCCGTTTACTAAGCAGAGATAAATTATCGCTGCTTAGTTTGCGGTTCCTCCGATTCTCCAGCTATGGGCTGGAGAATCTGGAGGGAGAACACAGATCTCCAGTGAAGGCTGACATCGCTCCTCGCTGATCTCCTGAGTGTCATAAACTGTGAATGACCAGAGAGTAGCGGTCATCCTCTGAATCGCAGCTATTCTCTGTCATAAATGGACACTTTAGTCTCTTCCTGCTTTGCTACTGATGCAGAAATCATGTACACTCTTTAACCTCCCTGGCGGTATTCCCGAGTGTAGCTCGGGGTAAAGTTTCAGTACACTCAGGCTTACCATGCGGCGCTGCTCCGGGATCCCTCGATCACTTACCTTGTCCTGCGCTCCCGTGATGTCCCTTTTGCAGTGTCCCCGGCAATGTCCTCCAGCGGATGCCGGCATCTGTCATCTGGATTCGTCCCCTGCGAGCGTCGGGACGTACGGGGACGGAACGGCGGGAAATTTGAAAATGACAAAAAGTGACATTAACTAAATACACTAAGATTACATAGTAAAACATTACTGTATCAAACCATTTCACATACATTTTGTCCCAAGTGCTTTGTCCTGTGCCCTGCCTACATTTTTACTGTTCTTTCTGCCTGGAAACTGAGAAATGTCCATGGCATCCAAAAAGCGTCCCTTTAGGTCAGAAGCGGTTTTAGACCAGCTAGAGAACAGCGATAGTAAATTAGAACCACTTGCAGAATTGAGTGATAATGATTCGTGGGGAAATTCATCATCAGACACTGAAAACGATTTTGCGACTTTGCTCAGTGATGTGCGAAGTTGGTGCTATATTTCAAATTTCAGTGTTTTTGGTTTGATTATATTATTGAATTAAATTTATTATTATATTGTTATTTTTTATGATTATTTATTAAATTATAATTTATGATTTCGTGTTTCAAATTGTAACATACCCGGGATGTTTACTAGACTCTTGTTCGGACAGATTTCAGTGAGTTATTCCTAAAAATTACAGGCCAACAATAAAAAAAATACATATTTCCATGCAAAAAAATGTACCGCTTTGAGCACAGAATTATGGACATAATGAGACCGCTAGGGAGGTTAATTAAATGAACTATTAAACTGTGGCCATTGTCAGCAGCTTGCAGTCCTGAAATAGTTTCTATAGTCCCGCTTTTCTGTTGTGGGAAGGGAAGTATCCTCAGGAACCCTTTGAGGTACCTGCTCATCTTCTGGAGATATTTGATGGAAGTATACCCATCATAATGGATGCCAGTTTTTCTCTTTTATATTTTTTAGTGTATGGGGCAGCCCTGCACCTAAGGACATGCAGGCAGCTTTGTCAGGTATCAGAAGGATTGGAAATAAAGTGAACCAATCATCCTGGTACACATATTAAGTTGGACACAGCACCGAATACACTTTGCATGATATCTCTGTCTCACCTGCTCTGTATGTATCTGTAGACAGGAGGAAAATCCAGTATCCAAGCCGTGTGTATGCATGTACAGCTGATATCTGGAAAGTCATCGGCAGTATAGCTTGCATTCACAATATCCTGGAACTCTAGCCTTCCTCCTGGGTAAAGGGATGCACAGTGCCTGATTGAACTACCTAGACACAGGTTATTATGAGACAGATACAGTTGGGAAAATAATTCTTTGTTCCCCTGCAGATTTTGTAAGTTTGCTCAATTATAAAGAAATGAAGGGTCTATAATTTTTATTATAGGTGTATTTTAAATGATAGAGACGGAGTATCAACCAAAAATCCAGAAAAAACACATGATACAAATGCTATAAACTGAGTTGCAGTTCAGTGAGTAAAATAAGTACAACCCCTGGCAAAATGTATGGAATCACCACTCTTGGAAAATGTTGATTCAATTGTTTAATTGTGTAGAAAAAAGACTAAGCATAGACATGCCTCAAAACTATTTTCATTTAACATTCCAACCTTCTGGCTTTAAACACAGAGGGAAAAAAATATAGAATCATGGACAGCAGCACTGTCAGTCTGGAGGAAGGGGAGTGGATACACTACCAGATTTAGATACACTAACCAAATTCAAGCCAAATTCCAGCCAACACCCTTTAAGCAGTTACAGCAACAGTTTCTTTTTCCTTTTGGGATAAAATTTTACACAAATAAATTAAATATGATCACTGTAAGCTCCCTGTCAGTGGTAAATGGTTTATCTCATCCCTGTAAATGCTACTTCTGAAGGACAGCTTATTCTGTTGAAAAACAACGGACTTATTGGCTGGGTCACCAGGTGAAAATAACAGAAAGAAAGTCTAAAAAACAAAACAAATGCAGCCATCATATCTAAGAATTGGTAGGCTGAATTATAATAAATGTTTGCTTGGGTTTAATACTCTTCTAACTTTGAAGTGATAGAAAGTTGAGTCCTCAGGTTACAATGCCAGTAGAATGGAACAAGGTGAAAGGTCATAATGATAAACCTACCTGATTTGCCCAAGTACTGTATTTGACCACTTGACAACTGGGCTATAGCCGATCGATGGCTACAGCACAATTGTCTTCTTCTGGGAGGGCGTCATATGACGTCCTCCCAGATCGTGCCTCCAGCGTGCCCCCCAGCGGCACTGTCAGTGATCGCTGTATTCTACGGACACAACTGATCATATGACTAGATAAAAGGCCAATCACAGCGGCCTTTTACAACATGACCAGCTTTGTCGAATGACGCAGCTGATCACAAAGTACATACAGTTGACGGTTATCGGCAGCACTTTCCTCACGCTGTCACAACAAGAGGAAAGTAATGAAGATAACAGGCAAGTGTCACAGAGGACATCTGCACTGATAATCAGGGCACTGATTATCAGTGCAGCCCCAAAAGTGCCCAGCACTGGCACCCATCAATCCCCAGCAGTGCCACCCATCAGTATCGAGCAGTGCCACTCATCGGTGCCCATCAGTGCTGCCTATGAGTGCCCATCATTGCCGCCAATTAGTGTCGCCAGTCAGTACCCATCAGTGCTGCCTATCAGTACCCATCAGTGTAGCCTATCAGTGCCCATCAGTGCAGCCTCATCAACACACAGCAGTGAAGGAGAAAATTTAAATATTGGCAAAATGTTATAATAGAAACAAAGAAAAACTTTTTTTTTTTTCAAATGTTTTGCTCTTTTTTTGTTTCTAGTGCATAAAATAAAAACCCCAGTGGTGACTACCACCAAAAGAAAGCTCTATTAGTGTGAAAAAAAATGATAAAAATGTCATATGGGTACAATGTTGCATGACTGCGCAATTATCATTCAAAGTGCAACAGCACTGAAAGCTAAAAATTGGCCTGGGCAGGAAGTGGGTAAAAGTGCTCGGTAGGTAAGTAGTTAATGGAGATTTTTGTAAACTGATGGAATGTATGCCACAAAGATCAATATCATTTTTGGTGTGTTTTTTTACAGCAAAAAGTGTTTATTTACAGAAATGTGGATATATTTTCTCTCAGTTTTTGCTTGTATACTGTACGATAAAGTTGCTTTCATCTCTTACAAGTAAATATTCACATACTTTCGCCTCAGGCTCTGGCATAGAACTCTTTCCTTGACACAGAAAAAGTTATGTTGAAGAATTTCCTGCCGCCGGGATGGTCACACTTTCATACGATCAGTGATAATTCACAGAACATGTTAATGGCAGCACGGTATTGTATGCCTGGCGGCCTTGATTCTGGTGTCCTAGCAGTGATTTCTATCACTCCTGAGGGGACTTTATAAAGACGCCAGTTACCATGGCAACTTTGTCTTTCAGAACCTAGGGCTGTGATTGGCTCTCACCCAGAGAGATGTCAGGTTTGTGACGGCAAATTAGTTGGGTAACGCAGGTCTGAATTGTGTTTTATGTGGTTTTATAGCAGTACAATGGCTTTTGTGCTTAGTGAGCTCTGTAGCTTTGTTTTGTGAGCTGAATACAATCTATTTGTTATAGAACCGAGAAAAGACTGAAATAACAGGCTGAATTTTCTTCTATTATTGTTCGAAGGATAAGTGCTGTGTAGGCAGATTGTCTGTAATGGTTTTGCTATGTAGTAAGGCACGCAATGTATAACTGTATGGAACATTTGCTATGCTATCCACAATCTGCAGAGTACAATGCAGGCGAGAAAAACAGAGTAGCTTCCTGTAAACTACAAGTTCAAGCATACCTAGAAAAAATGGGAACACCATCATATCCTCAGCTTTCAAACACACATTAAATGTTAACAGCACTAAAAGAGAAAGCGTTGAGAATGCAGATTACCCATTCAATGGAAAAATGATTGAGAATGCAGGCTATCCAATCGCTGGAAGATGTATTAAGAATGCAGCCTATCCATTCACTAATGACAGCACTAAGAATACATCCTCTCCAGTCACTAGAGGCAGCGTTATGAATAAGCCTGTCTATTCACTAAATTCAGCATTGAAGAAGGAAGTCTATATCGTTTCACCAGATACCTCAGAATGTAGACTATACATTTACCTAAGACAGCACAGAGATTGCAGCCTATCCATTTACTAGATAGAGCACTGAAAAGGCAGCCTATCCTTTCACTAGATAAAGCACTGGAAAGGTGGCCTATCCATTCATTAGAAAGAACACTGAGAATGCAGCCTATCCATTCACTACAGACAGCACTGAAAATCCTGCCGATCCGTTCACTAGAAGCAGTGATAAGAGTAAAGCCTATATATTCACTAAATGCAGCACTGAAGAAGGAAGCATATACTGTATCTTTTCGCCAGAGTCCGCACAGAGATTGCAGCCTTTTTATTCACTAGAGATGGTACCAACAATGCAGCCTATCCATTCTCTGGTGACTGATAATGCAGCCTAACATTGACTAGAGATAGCACTGAGAATACAGCCTATTCATTGACTAGACATAGCACTGAGAATAGTCTATTAATTCACTAGAGACCACACTGAGAATACAGCCTATCCATTCACTAGAGACAGCACTGGGAATGTAGCCTATTGATTCAATAGAGATCACTTTGAGAATGCATCCTATCCATTGATTAGAGACAGCACTGACAATATAGATCATCCATTCACCATAGACAGCACTGAGAATGAAGCTTATCCATTAACTGAAGACAACACTGACAATACAGCCTATCTATTCATTAAAGAAAGCACAGAGAATGCAGCCTATCCATTCACAAGAGGCAACCCTATGAATACAGTCTATCCATTCATTAGAGATAGCAATGACAGTATAGCATATCAGTTCACTAGACACAACACTGACAATGCAGCCTATCCATTGACTAGAGACTCCGCAGAGAATACAGCCTATCCATTGACTAGAGACTGTACAGATAATGCAGCCTATCCTTTGAGTAGTGTAGGGACGGACTTGAGAATACAGCCCATCCCTTCACTAGAGACAGCACTGACAATACAGCCCATCCATTCACCATAGACAGCTCTGACAATACCATCTATAAATTCACTATAGACAGCACTGACAATACAGCCCATCCATTTACT